GCTGAAGACATTTGTGTCTACCAAATGGAATATGAGAACGGAATCCAAGTAGCAGGAAGCAGAGTAGAGAGCTAAAGGAAAGATTCATCCTGATGACATCCTATCGTTTGAACTAGCTGCATCTGAAGCCAACTTCCTATATACTTTCCAGAGCCAAGAGCTAATAAAGCCTCTTCTCCAGTTTGATTTGAATTTTTCTGTCCCTTGCATCCTAAATAATCCTTAACAATATAAAAACAAATAAAACCACCCAAATATTTTATTGTGCATATAAATGCATAAAAGAAAGTTTGGAATGCTATATTTCAAATGGTAAGAGTGGTCGTCTCTGGGGAGAGGGGACTGTCAGGGAAGAAAGACGACTGGGAATGAATATTTGTGCTATCTATTGTTAGATTGCTTTACTATAAAGATGCATCATTTGTAGAATTAAAAATAAACATGCTTCTTCCAACTGCACCAGCCCCTCTCAGTAACAACAATCACCTCTTTTGAATTACTTACCAATGCCTTCACCTGATATTCAGGATTTGTAGCAGGATAGCCAAAACCTCTCTCTCTTCTCTTTCCTCTCTCTTCTGTGGTGGGTCCTTAGTGTTTCCGGACGTTGTAAATCAAATTTCCTTAAAACTAGAACTTTAGAATTCACCTTGCAAATAGAGAATGATGCGTATGAAATTATAGTTTACCCTGCAATACCAATTATTTTTCCAAATACTTTTTCACACCTACTCTGGTCAATGAATGGGTAATACATGATTAAATGTCCTGCAGATGAGAAAAATAAAGATAAAAACAAGGAGAAAAATAAGATTAATCCAATGATTTGTCTAAAAGTGTATGGCAAATCAATGGTGAAAACAGGACTCATGTCTTTGACACTCAGCCCATAGCTTTTCCATTTTATCATAATCTGCAAGTGGGACAGGCCTCGGGGAATTCCTTCCAAGGGCCTGAAGATCACTGTTGAACACTCAGTCAAGCCACATTTCTTTTCAGATACAATATGACAGTAGGTATCTAAATGCTATGATGATATGGCACAGGTCCATATGGTAGTTTTAGTCTCCTGTGACACAAAGGCTAAATTTCCAGAAAGGAATACTCAGGAGTCAAGATGTTCACTACACCAGCTCAAAAATAAAGAAGCTTGTTTCATCTCAGCAAGAGGGAATAGTCAAGGTACCAGGTGCTTCTCAGCAGGAAGCTGTTCTCTTCAGAAGCCAAGTGAATCATCTCACCACCAGGGGGCGGAGCTTTACTATAGTAGGTACGAAAACAGGCGCCAGCCTGCCTGAATCTTTTCTGAGGCCTCAATCTGAAAAAAGTTAATCGCTCCAAAGCTAAAGGCTCTCGCTGTTCAAATGATCATAGAGAATGACGGTAGAGCCTTGCTTTAAAGTCACAAAATAAATTTAAACAGTTAAACCCTCTGAGCTCATTAATTCATTTTTCCATATTGCTGGAAAGGAAAGTGCTTTATTATTAAGATAATCGTGACTGATAATCAAAATAAAAATAATTTTGACAAATACTAATAGAACTTTCTGTTGAAATAAGGATGACAAAATCCTTTTCTCAAAAAAAAAAAAAAAAAAAAAGTCTTGACTGAATGAAAAATAGGCTCCAGACTAAGAAAACTTTTGCTAAAATAAGGGTAATAAAAGAGCTCTGGCATTGGAAGGAATGGAATCATATGATACTTTAACTCTTGACCTCAGCCTGAAGAATGAAAACACATCGGAGGAACAAAGTCATCTTTCTTGAAGTGGAGCTGTATGAAGTGATTTACAAATACTTTAAATCAAAAGAAAAAACAGCAATTAAATCAACAGTTAAAGAAATAATAGTAAATAATGTTGTCCCTGTTCTGTTTTAAGCAAATGATAAAAAAAAAAAAAAAAAATTACATATCTTTACAAGTGCAGGTAAAATAAGCCCTATAAGTGGAAGTCAGCTGTGGAAATTTCTCAGAGAATCTTCCTTTGTTGAGCATGTTGAGAGAGTTAAGGGGAAATTGCTTATAGAATCACAAATCAGATTCTTAGGTTTGCTTTCTACTAATGGGAATTACCTAGTTAAAGAAAATTGAAATGTATGTATGTGAATTTTCTTTTAATCATCAGAGAGCCATGAAAGGAAGTTTTGGTTTCACCTGGGCTATATGTTATTTACTTCTAAATTAAGGGAGGATTGGCCATCAGTGGCATCACTGGGTAGGGGCAGGGGGTAGAGATTGCACCTGGTGACACTGTCAGAAAGGGCAACACCAAAATGATTGTTCATAAAATTTTTGTTCGATATTTCAGTGGAAATGTTATTTTTTTTCTAAAAATGTCCCTGCAGTGAGTTGTAACAAAAAACTTTTCTTCTCATAAACCTACCTTTACATGCACTAATATACTTAAGCTCAAACCAAACTCACTGCCATCAAGTCTATTCTGACTCTGCAGTATAGTAAATTACTTAGTATGGCTTTTCTACCCAT